TAATTTTGGGTTAAATTGGTAAACAATATGAACCAAATTAGAGATTTTTTTTAGTTTAGGGACTAAATCAAAGGTTCATACAATAGTTGAGGGATCAAATTAAAAATTTAACCTAGTATATATTATTCTACTTAATATTTGTTTGTATTTTATCTTTTAACTAATAGTTTTTGTATTACATTATCAATTATTATTAATTTATTGTTAAAGACTAAAAAATATTATTTAAAAGGATAATAATTGATACACATTTTGTTTCAATATACTACATAATATATTTATTAAAAAATTATTATCTTCTTATTTAAAATTAAAAATAGACAAATTAAAATATGCAACCATACATATAGGATATAAAAATTGATTAAATCAATTATATTTATATTATATTTTAATAATTCAATTATAAATGTTAAAAAATGTATTAAATCAAATCTATATCAATTATTTTCCTATTTAAAATATATCTTTTTACTTTTCAAATTAACACACAAAGTCATCTTTTTTAATTAAAATTTTATTTTGCGCTCTAAAATTATTTCTTGGCTCCACCACTGTGACCATGGACATTGAAGAAGGTGACAGAAGGAGGAGGAAAAAAGAAAAGAAATTAAAGAAAACAGGGCCCGAAAAGGCATAGTTTTTATGTCTCATTCCTCCAATTTTTTGCCGTACATTTATTTTTTTATCTTGATTACACAATAAGAGATAACCATCTTCCATACCTTATCACATTCCACCTGCATGCCATGAAAATCAAATTCAAAATCTCTTACTTTCAGTAAAAAAAGATAATCACTTAATTATTTAGGTCGTTGATAATATTTTACCATACATATTAATATCCATTTTTCTCTACAACTCATCATCATCATCACCATTATCATCATTATTTTACTTTTAAAACCTACTTCTAAAACCCAACTCTGTTAAATCAAGCCCAACCCATTAATCATATTATCTAAATAATAATGAAAAGAAAAAAATGTTTATTGTTGAAACTACAAAAACTTTAAACAGAAAAACCCAAAAAATACATCATTTTAATAGACAAAAAAGAGATTATTTTAATATTTTAATTTTTTTCCATAATATTTTATTAAATTTTCAATTTTTTAATCTAATTTTATTTATATATCTAACTAGTAAATACTAATATATATTGAAAAATGATTCAATAAACTAAAATTGCAATTCTTTAGCTTACCTGTTACAATTTATATTCATAAAATGTCTCTTAATTAACTTCAAATCATTGTGAATCAATTTGGAAAATTTTTAAATAAAGAAAAATAAAACAAAAACACAATTCTTTATATATATGTTTCCACCTATTTTTACAAATCAAATATGATGATAGTATCACATGTTATTCACGTCGGCAAATCTTATTTGTTAATTAAATATTGCTGATTGAAGTGTAGGATTTTAAGAATAATTATGACTAATTTAAGGAGCTGTGACCAATTTGGTTTTGAAAGAGTAAAAGCATGTACACATGATGCTATTAGCAACTACCATGTGATAATCTCATTAATTAAGTCTAGCTTAATGGTTGATTTTCCTCCAGATTTAGTTTGGACGATTGCTGCCATTCAATCAGCAAAGCAGTTTGTTTATTACGGCTTGCATGCCGCCACATATTTCCAATATGCTACTAATGACAGTTTACACTATAAATGTACAAAGATGGGGCCAAGCAAAGAAGGCCTGTCCTTCTCAAATTAGTTTAATGCTATTTTTCTTTTAACTTTTACAAACAATGTCTTCATTTAGCTTTATGTTTTCTTAAATAGCATTTTTTTTTT